GCTCGATTTGAAACAGAACCGTCATTCGTAGCGGCGCCTCACCCTCGGCGCCCTGCAGCGCGCGCCGTCGAAACGGCGCCTCTCTGCCGCGCCGAGGCGCGCCGAGACTGGGCCGCGGATTGTCGGGCGCAACAATCGCGTTGGAGGGCGTCATCTGCCGTTTGCCCCGAGCGCCAGCATGGCCCCACGCCCCTCGCACATTCAAAAAACATGAAAACAGCCCCAAGTCGTCGAGCACGTTCCCCTCACAGGCTCCTAATCTCCATTGCCGATGGCGGCGCCGAGGTAGGGCGGCGTCTCCGCGGCCCCGAGGAGAACGCCCACGGGCGCCCCGACGTCGCCGTCGCGCCAGACTCGCAAGCGTTTGAGCTTCCCCCAGCGCGGCTAGAGTCCGATCCCCGGCTCTGGCGGCCCCCTCCGTCGCTGCCCTCTGTTGTCCAAGCTGCGGAGTGGGCGTCATCGGCGCGCGTCGGCCGGACAGCGCGCGCCGCCTTCGAAAGCCACGGGGCGCCCTCGGCGCCACTCGCGGCGACCGCTGGCACCAGGGTGGCGAGCAGAGGATAGATGGCAGCCCTGCGAGATCCAGACTATTGCCCGCGCTCCTTCGACGGGCCGCTGGCGCCTCTCACCTCGAAGCCGCGGCAGGCGCGCGCGTCGCAGATCGCGCCCTGGATTTGGCCTGGGGCGCCAAGATTGCCCAGTCTTAAGCGGCGAGAGCCGCTTCCGAATTGAAGGCTCGCCACCAGTCGAGAGCAATTATGCGCGGGCGGCCATTATTCGCAGCCCGCCCTGACTCGACGCGCCCCCACATAACGCGAGCTGCATCCTGCGCGCAGCGGCGCTGGCGGAATCCAAACTGACACTTCGAGAAGCGCTCGTGGCTGCTTTTCACGGCATAATAGAATTCGTCAGTCCCAAATCTCAATATGCGAGTCGGGCGATTTGTCGGGGCCCCTGTGCTCACGTGTCGACGCCGCCGAGGCTATGCGCAAATCCCCGCGCTTTGCAGGGGCCAACACCCGCGCGCGCACTCTGCGACGCGCGCGAGGCGCCCCCTGCACACGACCATCGTTTTCCAAAGACTCAGCTCGGGAGTCGTCGCCCCAGGCCACCCTGTCGCCCTACGTCGCCCCTAGTGAGAGCACCCTCGTCCACCTGGGGCACCAGCCCCAGGGCGGGCCTGACGGCCCTGGCTGGGCGCCCGCGAATGGATGCTCTCCACGCGTTCGCCTACGCCGCCTGCATTCAGGGGGCTCGACTTCGCAGGCCCAGCCGGCTGTGTCAGACGATGGCGCAGTCTTCCCGGGCGCCACACTGAATGCAATCGCTGAATCAACTTGACTGGTCAGTCTTAGCCGATCTTCTCACTCGTCGGCAAGGGCCCCCCCGACGCCCGGAATCGCGCTCCGCGCGCGCCTGCGACCGCTGATCGATCGGGCCACGTGCGCGCTGGCTGATCCGCGGGCGCCCGCCATGAAAGTCGAAATTGCGGGGGGCGCTGGGCCCCCCGGCAAAACCGGATGGGTTGCCGGCGACGGTTTGGCGCCCAAGCGGCACGATTAACTCGCGCTGCTCGCCGAAAGCTGGCATTTGCCATGGCATCGCACTTTCGACTCTGGCGCGGGGCCACTTCTAACTTAGTCTTCTATTGGCAAATTCAAAATCGGGGCACTGGCCCAAAACTACAATGCATCGGAACAGCGCGCGCGAAGCCATCCGAATCCACGGAAACGAAGCCGCGGCGGGCGTGGCACCAGCGAAGGCGCAGCCACAGACGGCGACTGGACAATGCACTCTGCCACGGGGGGGCCAGCAGCAACGGCCAACCCAGGCGCCCGCGGCCAGCGGGGCGGGAGGCCATTGGAGGCAATGGGAGGACGCATGGGAAGCCACTGTAGCCATGGGGCGCCCGGCAACGACGGCCGAATCCCGCATCCAGGCGGTTGCTCACGAGCGCCCACAGGCGGTGGCGCGGGCGCTCTCAGGCGCGCGCGCGCTCAGAGGCACTGCCGGGAAGGCGCTCAAAGGGGCGCAACGGCGCTCGCCGGCGCGGAGGCACCGACAGGCATCGCCAGGCGGCGACAAGCGATCGCACAAGCCTTGCGGGACGACAGCAGGCACTGCCCACCGCCCGCGGGCGAACACCATTGCCTGCTGAAACGCGCGGGCGGCCACGGCCATCGCCGCCCGCTGCCCTCGCGGCCCCGGCCCGAGAGCGGCGCGCGACAGAGCAGAGCCCGCGAGAACCCACGAGAATCCGCGGGAATCCGCGAGAACTCGCAAGAATCCGCAAGAATCCGCCGCGAACTCTCTTTAGAAACGCAGCAGAATCCACGAGAACCCGCGAGAGTCCGGGAGAATCCGCCAGGATCCTTTGCTGTGGCCCAACAAAAATTTATGAAAAATTGTGCGAATCCGGGAGACTCATCGGGCGAGTTCTCGAGCCCCCAGGGAAACCTCCGGGAGCCTCAGGGCATCCCAAAAAAACGCCGGGGACACCTCCGGGGGGGGGGCCCTGGGGGCCCCTGGGCGGCGTCGTCGCTGTCGCCATCGCCGTCGCCGTCGTCGGTGGCAACAAGGACCCCCCCCCCCGCCTCCCGGAAACCTCCATGGACCCCATTGGCCCCGATGCCTTTATAAAGCACGCCAGGGAAACCTCGAAGGGAACCTCGGGAGGCATGGGCGTCGTCGTCTCCGTCGCCTTCGCCGACGCCACCATCGTCGCGTCGGCGGCGCCGTCGTCGTCGGTGTCGTCGTCGTCGTCGCTCCAGCGCGGCGAAAGACTGAGCCCCCCCGGCGCGGGCGCAATCGCGGAGTGAATGCGCGGACTCCTGTCCGATGGGGGAACCGAGGGGCGCGGGGCGCGCTCGGGCGCACGCCCGCCGCCCGACAGGGCACGCAGACGCGCGCGCGCGCTCGCCCCGTGAGCGGGCAATTACACGCAATGATGTTGTGGCGGTGATCGCGATGACGATGATGACGATGACGCCCGAAGGTAAAATGGTTCTGCCTTACGTTCCACCAAGGGATCACACGCGCGCGAGGCGCGCGCGCGCTCGCGCGCGAGGCGCGCCATCGCGACTGAAACGCGCCAGAAAGTAGAATGGCTGAGCTTCAATGCCCGACTTTCGGACCTCTCGCCGAAAGCGCGCCCGCGGGCCTGCGTTTGCAAAACGTACTGTTTGAAGACCCGCCACCCCTCGCATCTCCGACCCTCATAGCCCCCGCCGCTAACAGCCAGCCTGCTCGCGGGCCTTGATACCCATCGCGCCTGCGCGCTGTCCATCCTCTGCGGCCTCGCCCCGGATTGCCCGTCGGGTTCTTTGGGCGCCCGAAATGGGCACGGACAAAATGGGCGCAATGCCAAACAACCAATGTTGTCCCAAACCGACAGCGGCCGCTGTTGGGCAGGCGCCCCCCTGTCTTGAATGGGCGCAGGCCGCGGCGGCGTGGACAGCGAATCCCGTTCAAAACGAACTGGGCTTGCTGCTGGGCATTGCGCCCATTCTCTCCGCGCCCATTTCGGGCGCCCAGGCTTCTGAACGAGCGCGCTGGCGAACGGGCGCGTCGCGGCCGGAATTTCCGACGCCTTCCTGCGCATCTTCTCCCGGGGCCCGCGTCGATGAGCGGCGGCGCGATGCGCTTCAAGAGAAACATTGCATGGTTCGTCGGAATGTATGTCCCCCGATGGCTTCTCACGGCCGAGGAGAAATTCACGGGCCAAAGCCGAGCCCGGCGCGGCATGGATTTCACTGGCGAACTCGCCCAGGTGCGCCGCACCACTCTCCGCGAACGTCGCCTTCACTTCCTGCGCAACGTCTGCGCAGGCGTCGGCAATGACGAGCTCGAAATGGAATTGCGCGGGCAGATCGCGATTTGGAGGCCCCATCTTCCCCCGCGCCCCTCTGCCCCGGCCGCGGACGCCGATCGCATCCCCCCCGAGCCCCCGCCGCCCCTGTCGCGCGCTCAAGTCGCCCAGCGGGAGCCTCTGACCGTTAGCGGAGCACCTGGTGGAGATCCCCCAAAAGTCCTCATTGGACTTGCATGCCCCCTCTGGCGGCTTGTCGCGGCGCGGCGCGCGCGCGGGGGCGGGGAGGGCATGCGTCGTCGAGATGCCGAGCGCGCCGCGTTTCATGTTCATCTCTGGATGCGCACTCGACATGGGTGCCACAGGAAACCTCGAACTCCTCACCTGGCCCGCGGCGCCAATGAAAAGCTGGCGCCTGGTATCGCTTCCCAACGGTCAGAGAACACAATCATAAAACATGCCTCGATGTAGCAGACGAAACCCTTTTCCCGCGTCTCTGAGACGCACAGCGCGTCGAGTCCAAGACTTCCACGCGCGCCTGGAGGCCCCGGGCGCGCCAAGTAACAACTCGTAGGAGTCGACCGTGGTTGCGCCGAATCTTGCCTTCGATGTCCCGGTCTGTCCCCGAATGACGAACACGCGGCGAGGCTGTTCCGACGCGTCGCCATGGGCCCCGTCAATTGGGCTTCTGGTATTCTACGAAACCTTTGCTCCCCCCCTTGCCTGCTTTCACGAGGCGCTCGCCAGCTTTTGAAAGGAAGTCCGCGATTTTTTTTGATTTCGCGCAGCCGCCCCACCTTCCGGATCGTCCGCAAGCCACTCGACGGCAACCCCCTGGCCCCCCACCGTGGCCTGCCGGACCCTTCGCGCCCCCGGCCTTGATGACCATGTCGTCCGCATCCACCTTGACGGGTTGTTTACCGAACCCCCATCCGACCGGCACTTCTTGAGCCCAGACAACAAATCCAGAAGAACACGTGCTTGAAGAGGACAATCCGGACGTTACCACACCCGACAGCCTTTTGAAGGTGAGGCGTTTGTTCCTGTTGGCGTTCATGGCTGTGTCCGTAGCCCCCCTGTCGCCAAAACGTGCGAATGCATGTTGTGATAAAACTCGACCCCCCTTGTGGTATATGTCGTCTGGCCTGTTCAGGCTTGCCCTGGCCAATCCATCCACGATGTAATTGTTCGCCTCCTGGATGCTCTCCGCTCTCCCGAAGTCCTCCCTGACCGTTACCTTCTCGTTTTGATGTGCATCTTCGCAGTCTCCCCGATGTTCTGATTAACCACCTGTTCGACCACGCCCAAGACCTCGTCCTTCGTCACCGCCGTAACCTCCAGCTCGTCGACGGTTTCTTGAGCTCCTCCACCTTTGCTCCCGCGACATCTGCTGCTGCCGGTGCCACATCCGCTGTCACGCTTGCCTGCCCTGCCTCCCCAGCTCGCACTTCACGCTCGTCATCGTCCGCATCATGCTGCAACATGAATTCCACATCCTCCCCCTTCACCTCGACCTCCAGGGTAAGGTCCCCGTCGCCATCCATCTTGTTCGGATGTGACTGCGCTCGCCTCCGACGGGCGTGCCGAGATCACATGGTTCCTGCGTCATTTGGGACGCGAGCGGGATAGGCAGTTATAGTTTGAATGGTACTCGAAAGCTGAAGCGAAGCTTGAGCCAAGCCTCAACACAGGCAGCTTGAGCCTGAAGCAAGCCGGGCAGGAACGAGCCGAGCGGCGACGCTCCAAGACGACGCGAGGCGCAGCGAGGATGATGGCGGCCGAGGCCAAGGCCACGCCAGCCGCAGCTGGCTCGTGCCGTTCGCGAGGTACCTCGGGCGGACGCAGCTAGGCAGCGAGGGGGCGGAAGAGGGGGGCAGCAAGCGATTGATGGGGGAGGGGACGCGAGGAACGAGAGAAGGGAAAGAAACACGCATGGGAGATGGGAGCGCGAGCAAAGGGAATAACTACGTCGAGCGTGGGCAGGGAGGGCAAAGAGGAGGCAGGAGGCAGGATGGGGTATGAGAGGAGGGAGTCAGGAGCTTGCGAGGACAAATCCCTGCGTCGCGCCTTCTGTCCTGGTCCTCCCCCCTTGTATCTTCATTTCACGCGCTCCGTCCGCTTCAGCCTTATGCGCCTTCCTCCACTACGCCCTCTCTATGTCCCTCATCAATATGTCAATTCGTCAACTTATACCTTCCATGCAGCGCTGGCCATCGCCACAGCGATCGGCTCGAGCCTGGCCGAAAACAGGGACAAGCCGCGCTCGACAGCGAGAAGGCACTTATCCTTGATGGCCTTCGGCGCCTTGCTCAGCATGCTCGTTGGGAGCGACTGGTCCAGTATCGCTTCCTTGGAGCGGGCAGCAACTGCTTCTAAGGACAGCAGCGGTTGAAAACAATATGCCCCAGAACGCAAAATGGGAACCGACGATTATGTTTTCCGGCGCCAGCCCGTCTGGGATACAACACGTTACGTGCTGTATCCAAGCACGTTCCACTCCTCCCTCCCACTGCTGGGTCTGGACTGGGGGTCGCGAGCAGTTAGAGCGCCCCAGATGGCTCCAAGATGGCCCAACAGAGCGCAAGATGGCATCTAAGATGGCCAAAGAGATTCCAATATGCCTGACTATAGTTTCCAACATGTTCCAAGAAGCCCCACGACCGCCCCAATATGGCCTCAAGTGGCTACGGAGCCACCCTAGGAAGCCACAGGGAGGCCCAAATCCCTTCAACAACTAAGGAAAACAAGTAAGTAGTTCATTCTCGCCAGCTCGCTTCCGATGGGCTCCCAGGCCTCAAGATGGCCCAAGAGAGCCCCAAAAGGGACCCAAGATGGCCCCAAGAGCGCCCAAGGAGGGCCCCCAAAGGCGGTGCTGAGAGATTCGGGGTGGCGGAGCTAACTAAGGACCCCTCCTCTCAAATCCAAAACCATTGGACAGCAATTGCTTGTTCAAAGATTTTCGCATTTCGGAGGCATCCTTGGGAGGCATGCGGACGCAAAAAGGCGCCAAGATGGTCTCAGAGAGCCCAGGATGGCCTGCAACATATCTTGAGATGTCCCCAACTGGCTCGAACTGGCAACCAGCAAGACTCCAAGAGGCCCCAATTCTCCAAGACGGCTCCAGGTGGCCACGGAGCTTCCCAAGGAGGCCCTTAAGAGGCCAAACATCCTCCCAAAATGTCGGAGCACATCTGATTTGCGCCTTCCCGCCAGTTCGTTCCAGATGGGCGCTTATGTAAGGCCTCTAGACGGCTCCTGGCCCAAGAGGGTTCCCAAAGACGCCCATGATGACCCCCAAGAGCGCCCCAAGAAGGCTCCAAAATAATTACTTCTGGAACTCCAGAGTGGCAGCCGTAAATAAGGACCCCCTCTTTTTGATGGTTGTCTTCCATAACAACCCCGAGAGGCCCCCTGGAGCCTCCAAGATAGCCCCAAGACGCCCCTAAGAGGGCTCCGGAAGGCCCCAAGGTACGCTTCTTCTTGCATGTCTGAATCGCAGTCGCACCGCAATCACCATAATTAATCCCTTCCATGATCCTCCTCCACCCTCTTCGTCGTCCTCCTGCTCCTCCTCTTCTTCTTCCTCCTCATCATCGTCCCACCTCCTCGTCTGCAGGAAGAAACACAATTTATGTGAGAACGTGTTCAATCAAGCTCATCCTCCTGTTGCTGTTGCTCGCCTTCCTCCTCGTCTTGCTCCTCCCACTCCTCCACCATCCTTCCAACTCCTCCTCTTCCTCCTCATTCTCTTCGTCCACATCCTCATCCTTTTCTCATCCCTTCCTGGTTCGAGGTCCGCGAACACACATGTGTCTCACTCCAGCGCCTGGTCCAGCTGATCCTTGAACTTCGGTTTGACTGCTTTCCCAGCTTTTTGTTCCAAGGCATGCTCCCTCACTTCCCTGATCGAGGCAAATGGCATGGCATTTGTTGCTGTATGGGCTGGTGAGGATCAGCTGGGGCCCCGCTCGCGAACGGCGCCTACCATAGCCCATGACAATCCCTTGGCAATCCCCCTTGCTCCTCCCCTCTCTCACCCTCTCATTCCAAGAACGATTTGGACAACAAGAAGAATCTGAACCGAGTTGGTAACCGTGAACTGGCAGCTTCTGCAACCGAACCGCCCAAACCGGAGACCCAACCTGAAGGGCTGAAACTGAACCGGCTGCTTCGAACCGCACTGGTCGATCGACACCAGCCCGAACGGCCAACCCGATCCGGGTGGAATCGACATGGCTCCCAGGACCTCGGGACCTGCATGGCCCCCCATGCTTAAGTCGGGCGTGTCCCCCTACAGGGGGATTCCCGAAGAAAAATAAAACATATTCAAGCAATACCCCCAAATGGTCAAACAATACTCCAAAAATGCTCCTCAGACTATTATTTGACTATTTTTGAATATTCCTCCTGTAGAGAGACGGGCCAGATTTAACCCCATGCAGGAGTCGGTCGCCGCTGACGACAGGCAGTGAGGGGTCGGAGGAGGTACGGGGACGCAGGGGATGGCAGGGGAACGCGTCGGCATCGGTCGGAGCGGGTCGGCCGGGGCCGCCCCCAACCAGGCCTCCGCGGGCCCCAAGCGATCCAGACGGACGTCGGCACCCGGGAGCCCCCTGCTGCAATGATCGCCCCCCCTGTTGTTTCAATAGATATCCTATAGCATGCTTATAGCTTGTCTATAAGGCGGATGATCCTCTATTGCTGCGGCCAAACTACATAAGACTTCTTGGTGTTAGAGTGCCGCAATACAGTTTATGTTAGAAGTTGCAAATCATATACAAGTTAGGTGCAACGCTATAGTACTTCGGAACAAATTCATTAAGCACGTATAGATATTTATAACATACAAAATAAGCCAAATAGCTATGCTAATAGATAGCTAAATAGATGCAAATAGAGGCCGCTAATAACTTAAATAGTGTTTTTTTTTTGAAGCAGTTTTTGCCCCCCCCCCCTCCCCCCTCCCCCTCCCTCTGCTTGCATTCCCGCCTCCTCGCCCTTTTCCGCCTCCCCAGCATGCAGGGCTTGCGCAGCGGTCAACCACTGCAAGCGGTCACCCGACCATTTCGACCAGCGCAAGCGATCATCTGCCCCTTTGCTTGCGCAACCGTCGACCCACCAGCGGTTTCCCTACCGCTTTGCCGAATAGCGGTTCCCTACCGCTTTGCCGAATAGCGGTTCCCTACCGCTTTGCCGAAGTAGCGGTTTCCCTACCGCTTTGCCGAAGTAGCGGTTTACCTACCGCTTTGCCGAAGTAGCGGTTGACCACCGCTTTGCCGAAGTAGCGGTTGACCTACCGCTGTGCGAAGTAGCGGTTGACCTACCGCTGTGTGCAAGCACGACGCAGGAGGAGGAGGAGGAGGAGGAGGAGGAGGAGAAGTTGAGGAGGAGGTTCTCACCTGTTCTCGGAACAGCCACGCCTTGCTCAAGGCGTGCAGAGGGGCAGGGGCAGGGTTCGGGCGCAGGCATGGCGGCGCCCTCGCAGCTGGTCCTTCGCGCGCGCGCCAGCACGAGCTTGCTGGCGTCGCTTCGGGGTACGAAAGCCTTCGGCCAGGTCTCGAGAGCGGAGGCTGCCCACTTGAAGGCTTTGATCCAGTCCTCTGGGCACGCCGATCGGGACCAGATGCAGGCGCTCGCAGAGACGATCCGTGCAGCAGGCTTCCAGGGGAAAGACCAGTCCGATCTCTTGGACGCGGTCGCTGAGGTCGCGGCCGCAGCGCCCGCGGCCCCCGAGATGCCCAGCAAGGGAGGACAGCAGGATTTCGAATCTGCCGTCTTTTTTGTGCCGAAGGCGATGTGGGACCAGCTGGCCAGGACAGCGAATACCGAAGAAGTGTTCGCCTTGTATGGCAAGCTCGGCCTGCGCCAGAGGTTCTCCGAGGGGACCATGCACGCGTTGGGGCTCGTCATCCTCTGCGTGACGGAGGGCGTGGATGAAACTTTGAGGATGGCGCCAGCCGCGCGCACTAATAGCATCAAGCCCATTAAGGCTGCCTACAAGCGCTTCGCCGCCGACCTCCCGAGCCCGCCAGTCTGGGTGGAGAAGTTGCCGAGCAGCCCGGAGGCCCTGAGGGCGCAGCACCCCGAAGTTTTCAAGGCAGCGTACCCAGACGGCCTCGGGGAGATGCAGTTCCCCTTGCCAGTGCGCGTCTTCCGAGAGCTGGTGTCAGTCACCAAGATGCGCGTGCACGGTTCCTCAAAGAAGAGCCCCTCGGCCTCGGTGATGTCCGCGGCGCCAATGACTGAGATGGGGATGGTCGTCAGCATGTTGGGCGAGGCGCTCAAGAGCGTCGTCCAGCAGGGCCAGCCGAAAAACGACATTGGCTTGCGGATGCTCACGCAGACGCCGAGGAGCAGACCTCACGTGTCACCAGCCCCGCCCTTGCCGATCCAAGACAAGGCCTCAGAAGATGAGGCCGAGGAGGTCGACCAGCACGAGGCGGGCCAGGAGCAGCCCGCGGAGGCGAAGAAACCGCTCACGGTGGATGAGGCCACGAAAGCCCTCCTGGCCAAGTCGGGCGCGAAGCGCAAGGCAGGGGGCCCTCCCGCGGCGAAGGCCAAGGCGAAGGCCAAGGCCAAGCCCATGAAGGCAGCGAAAGACTCTGGGAAGGGCTACAAGGCCACGGTCACAGTGTCGTACTCTCACGAGAAGAGCCGCCAGCAGTTCCTGGGCCGCTGCAGCGAGACCAAGAGCGCCGCGTTTTGCTACAAGGGGAAGAGCAAGAACGCGGTCGAGAACGAAGTCAAGGCCCCTTCGGTAGTTCAAAAAATCTCATACGCAAATGCGTGGCACTCACGCTCACAGGCCCCCCCCCCCAGCCACTAACCCAGCACGAGTGCCGCGCATGCGTTTGTGCATTGCGCGCGTGGCCCCTTGCAGGCGTGGTGCCGCGAGCAGTGCAAGAAGTTCAAGGTGCCCATCTCGCCGAAATTCAAGGCCTGAGATGCCCCAGCTCGCACGCTAGCCTGTCGGTCAGGCCAGCGCGGGATGCGCGCACAAGGGGGGGGGGGCGTCCAGAGCAAAACGCACCGCCCCTCCTATACTTTCCTTTGCTCTGCCTTTGCTACTCCCAGCGGTGAGCCCACCGCTACTCCATGCAGCTATCAACTATTATGACAATCAGCGGTCTTCCAACCGCTTTCTCCATGGCAGCGGTCTTCCAACCGCTTTCTCCAGCGGTCTTCCAACCGCTTTTCTTCTTATTTTTGCACCTGCGAACCGCAAGTGGCAGAAGGAGGAGCAGGAGCAGCAGAAGGATCAGGAGGGGGAGGCGCAGCAGCAGAAGGAGGAGGAGGAGGAGGAGGAGCTGGGGGAGGAGCGGAGGAGGGCAATCAGGGGAGTAGCAGGT